TTTGATGTCAGAAACAGATTATTTCATTAGAGGGACATCCCAATCAATGTCTTTTTCTGTAGTGTGTTTGGGCTTTCCAAAGAAGAATATGTACATAGAGAAAAATAATCATTATACTAGACTCTGTTATTTACACTGTACTAACAGAATGTAACTGTCTGACCCCAGAAAGTAAACTGAACTTCTCTTTGCTTCTATTTATTTATCCCTAAAATGGGGATATGAGAGTACCTATTTCAGAGGTGACTGAAAAGATTAAATGAGCTAATATACGTAAAGTGCTTAGAACAGTGATCAGTGAACTATGGTTCATGGGCCAAATCTAGCCAGTAGCCTGTTTTGTTTGTTTTTATGATCCATGAGCTAAGACTTTTTTTTTTTTACATTTTTTAAATGATTGCATTGGAAAAGACTATAAAACTACCTACACATAATTGCATTGCAAAATGCTATATAAGTGCCTACACAATATCCTCAATTTTGTCTGTTGGTCCATAAAGTCTACAATACTTACTATCTGACCTTTTTAAAAAAAAAAAAAAGGTTTGCTGACCTCAGCATAGTACAGTGCCTGGCACACAGTGAGTGCTTTCAGAGTAAAAGCTATTATTAATATTTACCACACTGTATTATGTCATACCAATCTATACTTTCACTCTTGGGGACTTAATTGCTAAAGCCGAGAAGAAAGACCCAAGTGTCAGTGGAACACTTCATCCAGCCTGATTTGTGGGCTCATGAGAATCTCAGTTCTCAGTCCTTTTAAAGGTGCTTGGACACTTAAAAGATCAAGGAGGGTCATTCAAGATGCAGGCCCAGATTCCAGAGGCAAGATTCTGCCACCCTTATAGATCACCTGCTTACTCAAAACTTGGCCAATGATCCCTGTGACCATTGCAGCCTACCAGGAAACAGAATTCTCCAGCATTCACAGCTGGACACGGCAGTACTTTCATCGCTAAGGCTAAAGGGCACAGGCCTCCCTGGGTTCTCTTACCTGAGTCATTTAAGGGTAGAGAACACTTAAAATATGTATGATAAAAACCACTACAATATTGTAAGGTAATTAGCCTCCAACTAATAAAAATAAATGGAAAAAAAATAATTTTTGGCCAAGTCACAATTTTAAAGTTTTGTCAAGGAAGTGAATTTCTAACTTTCATCCTGCTGGTCAACAGACTGCTATTTCCACTTACAAAAAGCCATCTCTGATGCATATGCAAATTTATAAAGCACGGGTTGTTGACCAGGATACGGAGAACTGGATTATGGGCTTCTGGGTCAGAACACCAGTGTGTTATATGATATAGATAAGCATTTGGGTTACAGTTTAGCCTAAGTAATTCTCTATGTCACATTTCAAATGCTGAAGTATTTAAATTATCCATGTTGAAAACTGCCTATTTAGAAATGATATGCTTTGCGTGCTTTTTGTCTAAACTTGCAAGCTTCTAGAGTTCTGCTAATTTCTGTGTACAACTCCTACTTATAAATTCACAATGGTATTTATGTTTTATTTAAAAAAGAAAGCATGGAAGCATCTAATGGTCTTTTGGAAAGCTGGCTGATGATCCTGCATTTAAAAATCAACACCAAACCTGGGACACAGGAGTATATTTTGAAGAACCTACTATGCTCTTCTCTGAAGAGAAGGTGTTATTATTTTGAAGTATATTTTATCTTCTGACACATGTGTGGGCAGGGAGTAGAGGGGGAAGTGGTTGGAGAAAAAAAAGACAGTAGACAAAGATCTAGTCAAGAAATCAGACAATTAAAATTCCCTGAGCCAGAAAGGAACATTGCAGGAAAGGAAGGAGGGTGGATAGAAAGCAGGGGTATTTCATTGATGTAGAAGCTGGCAAATATTTTTTCAAATAAACTGGAATATTTTAGGCCACATAAATGCATGTGTTCAAGATGAAGATGTAAGACACTAAGGACAGCACAGTGTATAGACCTTCATCTGTAGTTGGATTTTCATACGTATCTTCATTATGGCAGACCGAGATTATGAGGTCCTGACATCAAAAACCTTGCCTTACACTCTTACCTGCACAGGCTCCAGACCAGTGTTCAGCTCACCTGTGATGTTCAGCTGTCATTGCTGTTGACAGCTTTCATATGCACATACACAAAGATCGTTTATATGAATTCAGTTGTAATTCTCAGAGCTCACGATCTCTCTTCTTTTAGGCAAGAAATCATCTGGTTTTATTCAGAAGCTACTGGTCATATGATGGAAAGGCATATATGGTACAAAGCTACAGTGGTTTATCTCGCTATACAGTATGAATCATTAAGTCTTTATGATTCATTACAGAGTCCTTGGATTTTTCTGAATTCCCATTTCATGTGCAGCAAATCAATATCATCTCCAAATCAAAATCACTTTTTTATATGTGACCCCATCACATTTACAGAACTCCATACATACAGAAAGTGTTTCAGCACAATTAGCGTCAGCAGTCTCTGGTGGACTTTTCTGAAAGATGCCAGTAGGGACAACTGAGCCACTGACTTGGGGATAAAACACAGGGGTGCTGCACTTCGGGTCCCTGGAGGTGAGACATGACAGACAGACAGATGGCCAACCATCTCCGGTACTACCTGCCTGACCCCAGGAGTTGACTGCACCCGAGGCAGGCTCACAGGCAAACAAGGCTAATCTTAGCCAGGAAAATCAATACCCACCAACTCATCTCTTTCACACATGGAGAACTTAGCGGAGACTATGGGGATGAAAACACAGGCCAAGCCTTTTCAACTCACAGCCAACTCTCTCCCTAAACACACATGGTGGCCCTGGCCATATCCACTGGCCTCTTTTACCTATGCCCACTTGGCTAGGCTGAGGCACCCAGGACATGGCCCCCCAGTGCCTGCCACAGTCCCCTAGGGCGTAGGGGTAGGTAGCGACCATCCATGTGCAGAGAAGTCCCCCGAGGTCCCCAGCAGGTCCTAGTGTTTCTCCTGCAGCCCCTCCAGCCACAGCCAGCATGGCCACGGCTGCCTCGCCTGGCCAAGGTTCACACAGCCTAGCCCTTCTTGCCGTCCTGCTAAATCCCAGAGCCTGGGATCCTCCAGGAGTGGCATGCCTAACCAAGGCTGATTCTTCACTGAAAATTTGGTCTGTTTCATCAGCAAGACAGAATAGAAGATGGGTGAAGTGGAGCCTCCATATCCCACCCTCGCTCTCAAGCCAGCACCTTAGGCCCAACAACCACTGGGTCACAGGGACCACCGGGGCTTATTGCTCCAGTGACCCATTCCCTGCACGTCACCAGTTTTCCAGTCCCGAGTTCATTTCATCTGTCCCCCAAAGTAAGAGCAAATATGGTAGCCTGGAGCAGGGCAAGCTTCCCTTAGACACCAATCACTCACCACCCAGAAGGGCGCCCCTGAGCTGCCCAGGAAGAACAGAGCATAACAGATGAGCACTGTGAGCATCTTGCAGTGCTCCTGGCCCCATTCACAGACTCTAACTGCAAACCATGCCTCCCCTGAAAGGATCCAGCACCACTCCCTACGCTACTCTTCCATGGATTGCCTCACCTGCCCTCGCAGGTCACGGTGAACCAACATCCCGGGATATTCGTGGGGCCAGAGCAGAGTCAGGAGGGCCAAGTCAATTTTGCTGCATTCTGACTGTTGTGCTGAAGATGAGGGGTCCACACAGGGTGGGTAGACGAGCCTCTGCCAGCTCAGGGCGGCTTACCTGTGGACCTACAGGCTGCAGTAACAGCTCACCAGGAACACCAGTGGGGCGAAAACGCTAGGACAGAGTTCCTCACACACGCTTCTTATAAGAAAGCCCCAGACAAGCTGAGTGCTATGGTACTTGACAGCAGCGATCAAGCTTTCTTCTTATAAGGAGCATTTCCCACACAACAAGCCTTAACACCTGGTTCCTACAAGAACAGCTGAGGGCTATGAACAGAGCTTCACCAGCCACGTGGAACTTTGCGAGCTGCTTGCAGGTCATGGGGTATTTCTGTGCATAGCCACGGGAATACAAAATCATTCAAGGCTCTTTCCTTGATTCTGCAAGCTCCAGGTAATAAGAACCCAGTCAAGTCAATAATTCTGTTATATTCTCTTCCACTCCAACTAAATGAAAGGATGAAAGAGTGTAGAACACGCTTCATCTCCCAAGTGACCTTCCCAAGATGGTTTTAAGACGGTTCCCAAGACAGAAGGTTGTTGACACCATGTTACAGGACCAATGGACTGTAGTCATTTGGACTCCAGCCAAAACTTAGCCCCATAAATAAGGATCACAAACACCCAAACAACCTTACGTTTCCAGTTTCTTTTCTCTGAGGAGCACAACTTTCTGCCCAAGGGCAGGCTGTCTGAGGCTGTGGGAGCAAGGGCTATTCTCTCAGCCAAAGGAATGGTGCTGGTACCTATCTCAATGGACCGACTGAAGATGAAAGTGAAAGTGAAGTCGCTCAGTGCTGTCCCACTCTTGGCGACTCCATGGACTGTAGCCCACCAGGCTGCATTTTCAAGGCAAGAATACTGGAGTGGGTTGCCATTTCCTTCTCTAGGGGATCTTCCCGACTCAGGCATTGAACCCGGAACTCCCTCATTCCAGGCAGACACTTTACAGTCTCAGCCACCAAGGTGGTAGGCACATCCAAAAATCTCTAACTGAACACCCACACTCTTGAAGGAGAACTTCTCCGCTGGCCAGGAGGTAAGGTAGAAAAGCTCAGCACGAAATCGACAGCACTTAATTCAAGGACACATTCCCAGCAAGTGTTTCCAAAAACGCCAGCCTCCTTCTCGAACACACAAGGAATACAAATGACCCGCTATCTCCAGCTGGGCAGGGTCCCCACAAACCCAAGGCTGTCTCACCCCAGACTTGAGCCGCCCCTTTCTGGGTTCTCTCTGGCAGGTCCTCTCGGAGGCAGGTCTTCTCGGAGGGCAAACCATTAGTCCTGGGCCCCCTCATGTCCGGTCGCCGAGACTAAGGAAACAGAAAAACACGTTACCTCCCAGGCCGGGGGCACTGCGCAGGGGAAGACAGGATGCCGAAGGTCGCTGCCACGGGGTCGTGGGGTTTCCTCCCAGGTGCTCATCTCCAGATTCCCGGGAGGGGGCGGGGGGGCGGGGCGGGCTGTCCCTGGCCAGCCTTCCGCGGGATGCTGGAACCAGCAAATCCTCTCGAGAGAGAGCTCAGGTTCAATTAATAAAACCTGGCCGAGCCTCAGAGCCACGGGGACTGTTTGTTCTCTGTGCTGGGGCAGGTGGGGCGGCCTGGCTTGCACACGTGTGAACGATCCCGCAACATCCAGACACGGGTACCACGCGGAAGGCAGGGCGGGAGAGGCAGCTCATCATCTGGGAAAAGGCCGACTCTCCTGAAGCTGGTCCCCAGGCCGTGAGATGGCGATCGGGATCAGCACGTGTAACCAATGGAAGCGAATGAACCATCGGCTCCTTCCCCCGAACCCGAGATTTTTCAACCCAAGTTTTCTGGATGTGGGTCCCCCCCCCCCCCCCGCCCCCTGCCCACTTAAACCGAACATGACTTTATTGGTTAAATCATTCATAACATGCAGCTGTCTTGATACTGCAATAAAGACCAAAGCCATAGCATACAGAACTTGACATTGACATTATACAGACTCCTGGATGTGGTTTTGAAGAGTCTAGACATGAGAGGGAAACAGGCAGCAAAGAGAGCTGCCTGCAGATCCAGCCCCCAGGGACTCATGCTAAGGACACAGGCCCAGGAGGCTCTTGCCTGCAGGTTCTGTGTGAGGTCCCTGGGTTACTTCTTAGGGAAACACACCAAAGCTCCCCTCCCAGTGTCTCTTTCAAAGCCATCCTTTTCCGAAAGCTCAAACTCAACCATCTTTTTAAAAGATAATATTGGGAGGAGGGCACTAATGTTACCCAGGATTCTTGACCTTGGCCAATGAATAGAAATTGACTAGAGGCCAGTCAAGAAATTCAGGCAAGACTTTATTGGGGAGGGAGGGGGTGAGAACAAACAACAGGATCCCTTGGTTGCTCACTCCCTAAGGGGTGGCAAGTTTGTTCTTTATGTGGGGTGAGGGTAGGAGTGTGTCCAGGCATCCTGGAAGGAGGGGTGGCTTGGGTGTTTTGCTCACCTCTTAGGTGGTGGTGTATGCAGGGGGCATGTGCAATAGTGCATTTACTCCAGGTGCCTCAAAAGTGGCAACTGGGTTTTTTGGTCTCTTTGTATCTTTTGTGTCCAGAGTTTGCCCCAACTGCAGCATGGAGGCAGTTATGTTTTGTCTCATATAGTTTCTTTGTATTTTGTTGCCAGAGGAGAAGTGTGTCTAGAATGGTCTTCATAGATGTCTCTTCTGCAGTGGTATAATTTACCAGCCAGAGATGAATTTGAGCAGATAGGAGCATTTCTATAGTTTTTCTCCTGCTTTCAAAATTGACCCCTTAAATGTATAGGCCCCTGAAATAAATAGAGGTCTTCCTTGGTGGCTCAGATGGTAAAGAATCTGCCTGTAATACAGGAGACCCAGGTTCAACCCCTGGGTCAGGATCCCCTGGAGAAGGAAATGGCTACCCACTCCAGTATTCTTGCCTGGAGACTTCCATAGACAGAGGAGCCAGGTGGGTTACAGTCCATGGGGGTCACAAAGAATCAGAAACGACTAAGTGACTAACACACTTTTAAACGTATAGAGACTCTGTTGCTCTTAACTCTGTCATCTGCCAACTCTAGCCAGGGTGTAGTTTTCTGTGTCCAGGGTTGAGGATGTGTCACTGGGGGACACCCTCCAGGTAAGAATGCCACAAATTCAGTTATTACCTAGTACCGTAACACTTCTCAACAGTAAATTCTTTTTAAGCTTCTGCCTGTCTTTGGTAATTTTCCAAACCCTGAACTAGTTATTTTTAATAACAGTCCTCAGTTTAAATAATTGTTACCTTCAGAAGAAATTGCTCAAATTCTTTATGATTCCATTACCTAAAATCCAGCTTGTTCCTTAATATGGGGCTAAAATCCAGCTTCTTAATGGCATGATATAATGGGCATGATATAATATCTACTTTATAAGGCTCTTATAAGAATTAAATGACATAATGTATGCACAAAGCTTAGCTTATTATCTATTGCATGATAAGCATTTGATAAATGTGGTAAATGTTATTGCTTTTTGTTATTCTTCTCATTCATTGGACCCGAGAGTTTTTATTTCACATCCACAGCTCTTTTATACGGAAGAGTGAGTTACTTGTTAAAGTAACAAGAGTTTCGATGCTTTAGTCACTTAAATGGCATTGATTGCAATATAGGTTGTGAAATCTGAATCTGACAATAACCTTGAATTCTGGTCCTCTTGGTGCTGCCTTAAAAATAATTTATTCAATGGATATATGTGGTACGAATTATCATCTTGCCTGACACCCTTCTACTGAATTTTTTTTTTAATCCCTATAAGAAATATTTACAGAGAACCCACTAACTAGAACTCTCTGTAGTATGGGGCTTCATAGTGGTTTAATGAGTGCATTTAATACTTTATATACCAGGAAGTCCTGAGGCGGGTTAGACACCAAGTTTGGCTTAGTGGCCCATGAGTTTCCCATGACTTGGGTTCTTTTTATATCTCCACTCTGCCATGCCTCCTGCAGACCTCCTCCTCTGGTTCATGGTAAGATGGCTGCTACAGTCCACATGATATCCAAGAAAAGATGGATAATAGTTTTGTGCTTCTCTCTTAGGAGTAAGCTGGTAGTCCTTCATGGTCTTTCTCTTTTATCTCATTGATGGGAATTAAGTAAGGATGATAAGAATGTAAATCAGAGTCTTGGTCATGAGTAACTCAACCAACAAAGCCAGCCAGGAATGCTTATTTGAAAAGGCTGTACATATATTTGATTAGAATAAAAATTCAGTTAACATGTATGTTTTTCCTCAATAACTCTGAATAGTGATTCATGTACCTTATAATGCATTGCATCTTTACTTTCATCTATTATTTTTGCTTTGTTTGTTTGTATTCCTTCTTTGAAATAGAAGCCTTAAAAACACATAACCTACACCTATTTCTGCTTCTGAGTGAGATACTGTACGCTGTAGCAGGCTACTCTCTCATTGAAACTAATATAAATGAAATAAGTTGCAAAAATACTACTGTTAATGACACTGAAAAGCTGTGAAAGTAATGAGGACTAGTTAAATAAAATTCCAGAGAGCAAAAAGCTCTTCTGCTAGCACCTTTGTTCCAGGGAGCATCAACAACTTGCATGGTGGACTGAGGACCAAGCTTTTCCTAGCAGAGAAGGTTTACTGGGGAAAAGAGGAGCCGACATGGGACTGGTGTAATGTGGGAAAGGAGAGGAGGCCAGAATACAAGCTTCGTTTCCCCTATAGACCATTTGCAAAATTCTGGTTGTGATGAAAGAGTGGAACAATGGCTGGAAAGGTAGAACAAAGTATTCCATTGTCTTTTAGTGCTGATGGGACTTCACTGGTGGCTCAAATGGTAAAGAATCCACCTGCAATGCAGGAGACCTGGGTTCGATCCCTGGGTTGGGAAGATTCCCTGGAGAAGGGAATGGCTACCCACTCCAGTATTCTGGCCTGGAGAATTCCATGAACTGTATAGACCATGGGCTCGTGAAGAGTTGGACACGACTGAGTGACTTTCACTTTCATAGTATGGAGGAGATCAAGTCCTGCTAGAGGGACATAGTCTATTACACACACAAGAATGTCCTCTCCCTTAAGACACTGGCCAAACTCTGAACCCGTGTGGGATGGGAGGCCATTGAGCTCATCTTAAACTTCCAAAGGGAAGCCTAGAAGAACATTAGGAATAGGGACAAACCAGAGCTGAACTGGGTCTTTCTAAAACTTCAACCTGCTGTCAAGTTAGCACAATCTCTGCCTGAACTGAAGTTATCAGTCTCTTACTGTAGTAACCATGTCTTTTATTTCCTATATTCTGATGCTTTGACATCTTGTAGCCTTGCTGAGACCCTGAAAGGACCACCCCTTCCAGAGTGCAGCCAGTTCTTAAGATAATGAAAATTCACCAAGGAGAGCACACCTTTCAAATGTAAACTAACCAGTCCCACTCCCCCAGTCACCTTCTCCAATGGACTCTTGAACTCTGGGCCACCACCACCTGTCCTGATCACCCCAGGACCAGGTACCAACAACTGGGGACAACCACTATGCCCTAGAGTCTGCTAAAATTACTCAGATTAGCCAATCTAAAGCCAGTTTACTCTCCCTCACCTGCTCTTGCTTGTAGAAACCTCGATAAAGGGCTCCTGCCCACAGTGTCCCCTCTCCTCTGCCTCCTGAACAACCGGGAACTTGCTTGTGTGGCCCCCAGTGCTGTGGTATGTCTCCCTTCTCTTGGGATCCCTGTGTATAACAGAGAACCTTTTCCATGCTGATCATCTGATCTGTTTTACTTGCCATACCTCAATGACAATAAAGCAGAAAAACTAATTCTATTTCAGTGTATCCAAGGTACATGCATGCTCAGTCATGTCCGACACTTTGTGACCCCTCATAAACTGTAGCCCGCCAGGCTCCTCTGTCCATGGGACTCTCTAGGCAAGAATACTGGCGTGGGTTGCCATTTCCTCCTCTAGGGGATCTTCCCGACTCAGGGATCGAAACTGCATCTCCTGTGTCTCTTGCATTGTAGGCAGATTCTTTACTGCTGAGCCTTTGGCGAAGCCACAAATTTTTATAACTTCTGGGACATCCCTAGTGGCCCAGTGGTTAAGACTTTGCTTTCCAATGCAGGGGGTGCTGGTTCAATCTCTAGTGGAGGAGCAGAGATCCATATGCCTCATGGCCAAAATAAACCCCCAAAATATAAAATGTAAGGAATACTGTAACAAATTCAATAAAGACTTAAAAAAAAAATCAACAATTTCTTATCTAATAGAGCAAAGAGTAAATCCTCCCTGGGGAAAAATAACATCATCTGCAATACTTTCACACTGACTGTATCATATACAATAACTAGGCTCTAAAGAAGCAGAAAAAATGTGATTTATACAGTATTAATCTTAGAAGAATTAATAATTCATTGTATGGAATTAATAGTACACTGGACAC